AAAAGGAGATGAAACAGTTAAAATATTATACAAAGAAATAAGAGACCCTCATATAGAGAGTAAAAAATTCTGAGAACAGAATTCACTTAGAGACGTAGGGGTCACAATATGTCATCAACCGGTCACCAGACTTCATTGTACGATAAGAGGGTACAAAAAACGGAACAGTATTCGAGAAGAGCGAGACGAGCCATCTGAATATGTAAATGTAAAATCGGAAAAAAAGTTATGCAGGAGATTTTTTTTGTCAAATTTTCTTTTGTTTGATACAAGGATAGAAATTACTAAAACAGAAACGGAACACAACAGAAAGTGTACAAAAATGTAATAATTTTAAACATGCTATGTTTGTTATAATATATAATATATATTGACTATTTTAGTTTTTTCATGTTCCAATGTGTAAAAACGTGAGTCATAAAATAATCAGTTTTATTAAATCCAATCGCTATTTATAAGTGTCAATGTTTAATTCTTAATTGTCTAATTATATAATTCATTGTTTTCAGAAACTAACTCAAAGTTAATTGCTAATTTCTATGTCACAAATTAAACCAACTTTTGTGGTTTAAGACAAGTTAAAAAAAAAAATCTTTAATTGATAAATAAAGTAAGTTGTTAAAAAAAAATCTGAAAAGTTATCTGAATATGTAATTGCAAAATCGGAAAAAAAGTTATGCTGGAGATTTTTTTTCGTCAAACTTTCTTTTGCTTGATACAAGGATAGAAATTACTATCTCTCTAAAAAACAGAAATTGCACAAAAATGTAATAATTTTAAACATGTTATGTTTATTATTTTAGTTTTTTTTATGTTCCAATGTATAAAAGCGTGAGTCATAAAATAATCAGTTTTATTAAATGCGATCGCTATTTATAAGTGTGAATGTTTAATTCTTAATTGTCTATTTTATATGATTCATTGCTTTCAGAAACTAACTCAAAGCTAATTGCTATGTCATAAATTAAACCAACATTTTTATGGTTTAATACAAAGTTAAACAACAACAAAAATTTAATTGATGAATAAAGCAAGTTGTTAAAAAAAGTTTTATCTTCATCAAAGGTAACAGCCAAAGCCAAACCTAAAAAAATTAACTAATCGTTTTTCACTAACTTATGTCATATCACTAGCACAAAATACTAATATAATTAAGTTTTTTGTTAAATTTAAAAATTTCGTAACGTACTTTATGGAGTAATTAATTAGTTAGTAATTAAGATACCCATTGTTTGTTAGTTGATAAGTTTCTTATGTTGATATAAGTATGTTAATATTTAATTTAATTAAAAATCTTTATTTAAAAATTATAGGTAACAACCTTTTTAATGTATGTGTAATTCACAACCATTGTATGCACTGTTTCGTTAATATTTATGCATCTAATTTTTTCCACAAAAATTATTTAGACAAATACTTTTTTCGATAGAATTCCATGTTTTAAGAATGTATGAAAATCAGTTTTCGCACTTAAATAATCCAAAATGAATAAATAAATTATCAAAAAATTGTTATGTAACACAGAATAAATCACGAGACCCAAACACGGAAGAGAGTTACAGCAAATTGCAAAGATTTAAGAGAACATTGTGAAATCCAATTACCAGTAATTGATTATTCTTTTATGAAATCCATGCGTTACTTCCTTTTATTATTGATCCACGATTTCGCTATGCAAAAAAAAACTATTCTAAAAAAAAAAGTCACGGCAAAATTTATTTCACACTTCTTTCGAGTTAAGTGATAAATATTATTTTCTAAACAAACAGAGAGAAAAAAAAAAGAATAATTTTCAGATCGCGAATCCCGGTAATGAGAAGAAAGGGAAAATTTAGAATAAATCAAACCAAAATCAATTCGCGAACGAATGTTTCCAAGTGACCAATAATCCTCGAATGATTTATGGATCAAACAACGAGGTTAACGAAATAAAACAAACTTAATAAACTGATTTCACCCAGTTTTTTTCACTGACTGAGAAGAAAAAGGGCGAAAGTCAACTCATCGGGCCGAAGACAAGCTATTTGAATACAACAAAAAAAGAGTAATAAAATAGGTCAGCTTATTCAGAGTTTTTATTTCCCTATTATAAATACAAAGAATATAGTAAATGAAATATTCAGAGCAAGCCTGCTCATAGCAATCTTATTTGACAGTAATTAGGTAGCAATTGCATTATTTTGCATTCAAAAAAATTATATAAAGAATTGTTTGATTGATCTTCGACTTAATAATTTGTATCAAAGTATAGTTTGAATTCGGTTATGAAAATGGGACCAGAAAGATAATTTAACAAAATGATAGTTTTACAATGGCAAGATTGACAACATAACACGTGCCTGTTTCTAATTAGAAGAAAAACAAATTTTAAAAGATGCAAACACTGTGTATGCTAATTCTTATGCAAATTCGTTCAAAATATAAAATAATTAAGCGTTAAAAATAGACAGGTACATACATTATATCTTTCTAAATAATTTACATCAAAATAAAAATTACACTAGCCTTTATAAATAAAACTATTCAATATTTACGGAATTAGTTACATACCTTTTAACTATACAATAAATTAATTTTAATATAATGAATCGATTAAACAAATTGTGTTTTTCTTTTACAAATAATTAGTACCGTTTTTTTTTCTTCAAAGTAATGTTATACGATAAAAACTGAGTTTATTTAAATAATATTTATGTTAAAACGTCAAAACTAATCTTTCAAAGAAAGTTAAGAAAAAACTTGAAAAATAATTTAAATCTTCATTCCTTCATATCAACATATTAACTAAATTCAACCATTTTTTAAAAAAAACTTGTTTTAATTTTTAGTAAAATGAAATAGTATAAATATATTCTTAATAGTTAACTTAAATTATTAATAATTCACGTCATGTTAAAAGCATTCATTTTTATAAATTTATGTCTCAAACAATAAAAAAGGGTTTTATTAACAATTTTCTAAAAATTTAAGAGGCGTTAAAAAATTTGGTAAAATTAATTTTTTAAATCTTAATCTGCAAACTTTTTAATCTAAATAAAAACAATTACAATTATAAATGAAATATTTAAAATAACTTACCAATTGAAAACAAAAACATATTCGAAAAACTATGACAACATAAATGCGCATCTAAACAAATTACAGTGCAAGGAATGTGCACACAAGAAGCACGTAACACAATATTATAAAATGATTCATAAAATACGCAATCAGTTAAAAGCAATTCAATCAAAGGATATTACTATCAAAGGAAGTGGAAAGTAATCAATAAATTGTCGCCAGTAACCAAACATTTCTCAGGTGTTAAAATAATAAGTGTTCATTTTGTCGCCAATAAATCATAAGATTTCGTATATATGGATGGTCACTGACCACTAGCAGAAGCCGGATGTTACTCATAAACACTCATGTCCACTATTATGTCCATCGAACAGCTGGACTACGGGGATTTCCTAAGGGGGCAGTGACCCTTCTGCACCTGGATCTCTTACGAGAATCTTAAGAAAATATATAAATATAATGGAACATAAATAAGATTTCTATTTTGGGGAAAGGTTTTTTATTTCCTCTAGTGCAATAAAAGTTTACCTTTTAAGACATATATAATTCTTACATATTCATAACATGCTTGATTCTTGCATAGCCATAACATTTATAACATAATTATATATACTCAAAATTTCTCAAATAAAAACAAAACCATGTTTAATATTTATCTAATAGTTATTTTCAAAAGAATATAATATTTTAAGAACAAATATATATAGTAAGGCAATGTTTAAATAAAACGAAACGCTACATTAACACTATGCCATGAAGAAAAAGGGTAAAAAAAATATTTTAATGTATCATCATTACTATGAATAAGTACATAATTAAATACTCATATTAAAGAAATTAAGTGCAGTTATTTTTTTAATTAATTAAAGTTTTTTCCCTTTCTCTCATGTTCATTCCTTTTTAGTTTTGTTATTTTAGGGAATGTTAATTTCGAGGGGGAAAAAGTCATAGGAATGAGACTAGATATGTAATTTTCAGAGTTTAACATAAATGAAACAAATATAATCATGCTTAGTTCAAATAAATCTTCCTACAATCAGAAAAATTTAAAACATGTTTTAAAATCAAAAATTAAATCATCCATCAATAAGATATTAGTTTGTAGCAGATGGTTTTTTTATCATAAAATCTTAAATTTACAAAATTTCCCTTCTTTAATTTTTTCCTTTTTCAGAAGTAATTTGGGTTTTATAGGTACTGAATTCTATTCTAAAAAAAAAAAAAAAAAAATACTTAAAATCTTCTAAAGTTAACAATTTTTAAAATAGCTTATTTAACTTTTTCTGTATCTGTAAAAAAATACCTAAAAAAACCTTTTCATCCGCGATCTATAAAAACGCTTATTTAAAAACGTACTTAAATTTATTTAAAAGCTGTTTTAGTTTACATTCTATAATAAAATTTGCTTCTTTTTTTTCGCAAAAAAAAAGTGAAAATTTGAAAATAATTAATATTATAGTATAAAAAAAAATCGAATTAAAAGCATAAATTAGAGCGGGGAAAAAAAGATAGAATCTTCCAGCAAATTCCAGAATCTTCTATTTTCTTCGTCAACCAGCATGCAACATGTAATCTGATTTTCTTCCTTTCCTTTGTACTTAACTTTTCTGTAAACATTCTGTGAAAGAATACCTGAAAAAACCTTTTCGTCCGCAATCTTTAAAAATACTTATTTAAAAACAAACTTAAATTTACTTAAAGCTGTTTTAGCTTACATTCTATAATAAAATTTGCTTTTTCTGAGAAAATTTAAAAATGATTAGTACTATAGTATCAAAATATAGAATTAAAAGCATTAATTAGAGCGGGAAGGAAAAAAAAGATAGAATCTTCCAGAAAATGCATTCTGAAAACATTTCCCTCGGCAAACCAGCATGCAGCATGTAATTTGATTTTCTTCCTTTCCTTTGTAACTAAAAGTCAAAATCCGATTTACTTACATTCCGTCTCCATGCAGTAGCGTGCCAGGCTTATTCGGTTACAAAGAAAACATTGCTTCCTCAGTTAAAAGTCAAAAACAAGAAAAGACCACCCCTCGCAGCTGAAAGCGCATAAACAATTGATTTCAAGTATTCCACCAGAGAAAGGGAATTTTACTGAAGTAACATACATTTCGCTTTCCTTATTGAAAGTGAGGGAAAGAGAGAGTCTGGCCAAAAAGAAAAAAAAAAGGACACAACTGCAGCAAAGACTGATGTCAAGGTCAGTCTTCTCCTGACCGGATGTTTTTTTCCAGTAACGACCCTTCCGGTTTTTAAGTGGGAAGAGAGTAAATAAAAACAAATGATCTTTTAGACCGAAGCAAGACCCACCTGGTTCCTCAAGTATAGCAGATGGTATAGTTCTGGAGTAATGATGCGGAGTCATTTGTTAGATTGTGCACCTCTTCCCCCGCACTCGAATTTAGTGCTATGGGTTGGTAGTTTGTTCCATGTAGAAGAGGGGACTCCATATCGAATATTATGCAGAAATTATATAAGTTTATAGCTACACTTACGACGCGGTTAGGTCTTGAATCAGAGTGCGTAGCCAAATTATTCAACAAAAAATAAGCACTTTTCAAGCACTAAAATAATATTTTTAATCACTTAGAAAAAACACAATTCGGTAGAATTGGTAAGTTTTTGACAATTAACGGTTTTATCTGGTTTTAACAGTCATGTCAAAAAATTTAAAAAAAACTTTCGGCATTGTTTTTGACAATTGTCAAAATTTTTGAATTATGTAAATCGAATGGCGTTTTCTTACACTACGGACTGACGATACGCTGAAATAGATTGGGGTTGAATTAATTGTGAAAACGTTGAATAGAACAATGTGAACGTCTTTCTGCATAATTCGTAGCGAAAATCAACATGGTAAAGGAAAAATCTCAATATGGAAAAGGAAAATTAAGCACTTTTTAAAAACACCCAATGAAAAAAGCACCTTTAAGGGCTTTTAAAAAACGAAAATCAAAAATTTGCACCTTTAAGCACTTTTTAAAAACGCTACGCACCCTGTTGAATGTTTCAAAGTAATTCAAAACGCTTATTTTAAGTTTTTTTTTCTGGCGAAAGGTGTTTTTAAACCTTAGTGATATATTAATGCACTCTTGGAACGTTGAACCATGAACCATCTTGAGTTTTTACAAATTCGTTGCTATCTGCATAAAGCGTTAAATCGAACCATGTTTTTGTCTGACAATAAATTTAACCATGATATCACGTAATCAAGTTTAAGATGCATGTTAATAAATGAATTTATCACCAAATTTAGGTTGCACTAAATTTGAACGATATTTATGCATCAACGAATTCCAAAGTTTCTACGAATGTATTTTCGAGGCTTTTTGAAACCATAAATTGTAACTACAAATTTAATTTATTTATTGATTTTATGGAGCATAAATAATTTATCTATCTGTAATACAAGCTTGACTGACTAAAAAAAATTCTGCTAATTCTGAGAGAAATGCCAGTTTAAGAGCAGGTTTAAGCGGATTTCACAAAAGAATATTCAACAATTGTTATATTTTGTGAAATTTGGATCACAGCTTGAATTGGCCAAAACCATAAAAAAGAATTTTTTTTAGTATACTGACTGTTTTACGGCAGGTTTAAGCAGATTGCAAAATACAACTGTTAGATTCTCTTTTTTTTTATTTATTTTTTTTTTATTTTATGTTATCTTGTTGAATGCTGCAGACCCACTAAACAATTGACGTTTTGCGTTTAAGAGCAAGACGGTTAAGAGTACTATATTTCATTTCCCGAGAGCTCTGTGAAAACTACACATTAATATACATTAACATACACATACACATTAATTTACAAGTTTGCTATTTTAAACAAACATATAAAGTTGATAACAAAGTAGGGTAGATTTCGCAAAAATACAGTTGTATCTTCTGACTTAATTGTATAATTTATGTGAAAACCACCACTAAGTTTAGTTAACTTTTCCTTAACATACACTTATAAAATTATGAATTTGATTCTAGGCTATTTATTAAAAGATTTTTCTCTACAAAAAAACAAAAAAAAACAAAAAAAAAACAAACAAACAAAAAACATTATTGAAAATAATAAGGAAATTTTTAGAATAATGTAATTCAAATAATAATAGCACTACTCAATGTATGTAGATAACAGTTAGTGATCTACTTAGTCTCAGAATATAGTTTTGAGGTTTCTTTTTCCTTTCAAACTTTCCCTTTATGCACTATTACTGCCGCTCTCACTTGATTAGTCTAGTGTTATTTTTAACAAACAATTGCGGTTTTCTACCAAATAGAGCCGACGATTCTTCAAGTGATAGTTACAGTTAAGGTTAACGGACTATTGTTGTTCAACGAAGCGAGGATAACAGTGAAATTGCTCTAATTAGTTAGAAAGCAAGAGAATGAAACGGATTGAAAGTATTCTATAAAAAAAATAGGAATAGTTAAGATATTTTTGAGGAAGATCGATATTTTTTTAGATAAGGTGCATAATTCTATAAAAAAAATAAATAAAAATAATAACTGATAGCGAGATATTAAACTAAATTCCTTGTAATGATAATTAAAATGTAATTAACTTGACACAAAAACGAGGATAATAATAATAAACTATAATTTTTTCTAAGCTACAACACTTTTCGTATAGTGATAATATACACATCTAAAACATATTTCAATACCCATTGGTATTACTTATACATTCAAAATATTATTATACATTGTTGGAAGTTTTAGAGCTTATTAAATTATCATAACAATCAAAATTGCCATGTTGAATCACATTATCATGAATATTAAAACCCTTTTTAACTTGATTATATAATATGGTTCAACTCTAACAGAAATAGAGTTCAACTTAAAAAATTTTTAAGGTTTCAGACTAATTACACGATCAGTAAAGCGTTACTTTAAACAAGGCTCAAGGTACCAAAAATAAGAGCTCAACACTGAATCGATTTTTTTAGAGCTCACCATCTCTATATGATGTATATGTTGTAGGCTAATTGAAAAATTCGTCGCTTTGCAAACTGCCGACCTCACTTGGCAATGTGTCACCAGGGCTCAATGCAATAAGCATAACAAATGGTGTAAGAAGTTTGCAAAAGGCAAAATTTTATAATTAGCCTATAGAAGTACGAACTTAACAAGATTGCAATTTAATAATCATAGTATTATTGATATACTATAATAGCTTTAATCAGTACAGTATTTTGATAGAATACAATCTGTAACCTTTACACAGTGACCCTTTAAACACGTGACACAAAAGTGATGAATAATGACCTACAATTTTCCCAAGACATAGCACCTTCTGTTATTCAGCCTAGTATATTACGCCAGACACCCAACACCTTTAAATGGTTATTTTTAGTATCAAATAAATGAAATGAAGAAGCAAAAAGAAATACAAGTCATACCCGAGTGCAAAAGCCCCAGTTGAGAAGGGGGGAATTACAAAAAATATCCCGTTTTATTTTTAAAAATCGGTTGCAATATGATCAATTCCTAAAGCTATACCCATAATACCCTTCGTTTCACGGTTAAGGTTATATCCGGTTTCCAAATGTCTCCTCAACACCCCCCGGAAATGACGTCTGCTGAAGCTGGGGAAGGAGACGTTTGCAGGGAGAGCAACAGGTGACGATCTGCTTCCAGAGGGTGGGTGGACCCTGTGCCTCTGGTACACTGACCTTCAGCTCGGTATGGTACGGTTAGAAAAGATTACAGTGAACTCTCACTTATGCACCGGTGTAAGGGGCCAAGAGAAAAAGGCGCATAAGTGAAAGAGGCGCATAAATGAAAATCTTCAAAATTCTAAAACGCAACGTAAATTGCAGTGACAATATGAATAAATATGTTTCTAAAGATTTAATGTTACTATTTATACTGTTTTGGTATTTACTATAATTATACAAAGAAAAAATTTAACATACCTTAAGACAATTTATTTTCTTACAAAATAATCTTAATACATGTTTGTATTTGTTTTTGCCGACGTTATTCAAAAACAGTTTTTTCCAGTTCATATAAATGGGATAAGGGGGAGTTTCAGAAGCAAAATTAAATTGTAAATAGTCAGGAATAGTGTCTAAAGCTTTCAATACTGCTGTGTGATTTGGAGGAACTTGATCATCTCGTCAGTATCATCCACCACGTTCTCATCATTCACAAGTTTTAATTAGATATAAATGAACAGTTCTTCACAAAAAATTTAAGTTTTATGGGAGGGTTGAAACATCACATGATAAATTTCTAAGAAAAGTACTTGACGTCATAATATGCTGCACAATAAGTTGTTCAAGTATTTCCCTCACTAAACAGATCACCTCCTTTTATGTACTCATAATGTCCATCTGACTGCAAATAAGTGATCGCGGTCTCTTTCATCTTTCGTATTCCAGGTGTCTTCTTTTTCTCGAAAACAGCATGGGAGTAAAACTAACCTCTGGACAAGAGGAATGGTCATTTTCTAAAAGATGAATGAGCTTTCATTGTTGTTGGTGTAACAGATAAGACACCCTATTCAAAATTTTACAAAGAATGCCTTTCCAGAAACAGCAAAAATGAAAAGGTCACAGGGGGAAGCGAATTCAATAGGATCTAACAACATATATTTCTTTTTATCTGTAACAAGGATTGCTCATTTGCTTCATTTTTAATTTAAAACATTTTTTTTTAAAGAAAAAGTATTTAAAGGATTAAAAAATCAAAATACTAGCCTAAAACTTTGGCGCATAAGTGAAAAATTTATTTTTAGAGCGACGCATAAACGAAGGATGTTTATCATTATTTTCCTATCTAATGTACTGGGACCTATAAAAATCGTCGTATAAATGAAAAAGATGCATAAAAGAGGTGGTGCATAAGTGAGAGATCACTGTATGTGTGGGGTGATAGCGAAGAGGGAGTAGTACGTGATTCTCGAAGTTCATCGCCTCTCAATTATAATGAATAAATCATATGAACAAATGTTAAGAGTAGGGTACTACGAGTATAATTTAAGAACAAAAACAAGACAGACTGAATTTTTAAAAACACAGTAATTTCTTATAATTAAAGAAGAAAAATTGTAATAAAAAGAATTTAAAAATGCATATTAAGTTTGTTAGGAGGAACGCGTGTAGATGACACTTAGTACAAACTAATTTAAAAATATACAGATTGCGTAGTGACGTTATCGAATAAAATTAAGGAGTCTCCAAAAATAAAGTAGTTCGCACATATGTTCAAAAGGGAAGATAAAACGAATCTAAAATATAGCATCTATGTAGAATCATATCAGTAAGTCAAAAAAAATCTTTTTTTTTAGATATAATCATTTTATGAAATTTCGCAAGGACAAAATATTACATTTAAAGTAACAATAATCTATCATAACTATAGTTAGTTACGGTACAGTTTGTTGACGTTAGTTCCGTCTAACTACCCTTGTCCAGAATCCCTTACAATTTGTCATCCACACCATGAACATAATTCAAAAGACCTTTGACAATAACACAGCATTTTTTCATTCAGTTCTTTATTACCATTGTTATTATTACATTTATTCTCTATATTGGACTACAATATAGCTCAATTTTGTTGTAACCTCAATAAGCTGCTAAA